ACTGCTTTCGGATGAAAGACGAAACATTTCTACATGTTTTTTTTTGTTTGTTTATTTGTTTTGTTTTTTTAACATCCAGAGGACCAGACTTAACTTTTTTTTTATTTAAATATAAATGTTTTTGTAGAATCTGGTTCATCAGATTTAATTCAGTTCAGTTTATTTATACAGCGCCAAGTCACAACAGAAGTCGTGTCAGGGCACTGAACAGAAATATTCATATATAAAATAAGTTAACAAACATTTATATATAAAAATAATAATTTAATATTTATCTGAGGAGCAGACTGCTTTGAGTAACTCATAGCAGAACTCTCATTAGCAGGACGTGGATTCTGGACACGCCTCCAGAATCAGTCCTAAAGTGCAGGTGCAAATCCAGGCTGAGCTGAGCCAGGCTGAGTAGGGGTGTGCAGGGCTGAGCAGAGTTGGGGCTGATTAGGGGCAGTGCAACAGGGGCATAAGAAGATGGTACCAAAGCAGCTGAGGCCCTGTTCATACCCGTCACTTTAAATCCTTCTTGAGTGATTCAGTTGGGAGTGGACAGCTCTGACTGAGAGCATTCACACCTGTCAACAAAAATGTATACCCTAAAACATTTTCCCAGTCAAATGTTAATAATCTGTATGCAAATACATGACTGCAGGTTTGCTGATCTTTCTGTAAAAAAGTCTTACAGAATTCTGAACTATATTTTTATTTTGACATTAACACGGTACAGAGCCACTTGAGTTGCCCGTTATCTTACAGTTAGTTTATTTACCTGACAAATGTATTTTATTTTGCTTATATTGCAACGATGAGTTCCATCCCAGAGCTCAGTTTCAATCCATGCCGGAAGGTTTTACCATACCATACCAAGGTTTTAATCTGTAAAATGCTCGGACTCTTGGTCTGTGATTGGCATGGCGCATTATACAGTAGCTTACAGTGACCACAGCAGGTCCAGTCAGGTACTGATCAGAACAAACATATAATCTAGGTAGGTGGTCTTATAGTGGGGTTCATTTAATCAACCTTTATTTATACAGGTTAGTCTCATTGAGTTCAGGATGGATTATGTTCAAACCACCAAACGTACACAGATAAATGGTGATTTAAATGAAGACATTTTCAGTGAACATAAGGCTGTTCAGACCTGTTTAGTACCAAACAAGTGCAATCTGAGAGCTAAAACCCTGTTGAAACTCAGGGTGCTTTGGTGTTGAGACACCAGGTGTTTTAATGGTCATAAACTCCATTGAAACACCAGGTGTTTTAATGCTCAGACTCCAATGAAACAATGGATGGATGGATGGATGGATGGAAACCCCATTGAAACCACAAGTGTTTAAATGGTCATGGACCCCATTAAAACAACAGATGTTTTGATGGTTGTAGACTCCATTGAAACACCAGGTGTTTTAATAGTCATAGACCCCATTGAGAGGAACGGCCCCCCTGATCTGAACCCGAGTGGTGTTCTGTTGTTGGACTTCTGTGCTCGTCATGGATTGTCCATAACAAACACCATGTTCAAGCATAAGGGTGTCCATATGTGCCCTTGGCACCAGGACACCCTAGGCTGCAGTTCGATGATCAACCTTTTTGTTGTCTCATCTGATCTACGGCCTCATGTCTTGGACACTCGGGTGAGGAGAGGGGCGGAGCTGTCCACTGACCACTACCTGGTGGTGAGTTGGTTCTGATGGTGGGGGAGGATGCCAGTCAGACCTGGCAGGCCCAAACATATTGTAAGGGTTTGCTGGGAACGTCTGGCAGAGTCTCCTGTGAGACGGAGCTTTAACTCCCACCTCCGGGAGTACTTCGAACATGTTCCGGGGGAGGTAGGGGACATTGAGTCTGAGTGGGCCATGTTCCGTGCCTCTACTGTCGAGACCGCTTACTGGAGCTGCGTCCGCAAGGTTGTCGGTGCGGCAGCAACCCTTGAACCCGGTGGTGGACACCGGTGGTGAGGGATGCTGTCAGGCTGAAGAAGGAGTCCTACCGGGCCTTTTTGGCCTGTGGGACCCCTTACCCACTTAATCCCACTGGCACGTCTTCCGCTGAGGAAGCGGAGCCTGGGGACTTTGGGTTGGGCTCTCCAACCTCTGGTGCTGAGGTCACCGAGGTGGTTGAAAAGCTTCTCGGTGGTAGGGACCCAGGGGTGGATGAGATTCACCTGGAGTTCCTTAAGGCTCTGGATGTTGTAGGGTTTTGTTGGCTTACATGACTCTGCAATATTGCATGGACATCAGGGGAAGTTCCCCTGGATTGGCAGACCGGGGTGGTGGTTCCCCTATTCAAAAAGGGGGACCATAGAGTGTGTTCCAACTGCAGGAGGATCACGCTCTTAAGCCTCCCTGGTAAGGTTTATTTGGGGGTTCTGGAGAAGAGGGTCCGTCGGATAGTCGAACCTCGGATTCAGGAGGAGCAGTGTGGTTTTTGTCCTGGTCATGGAACACTGGACCAGCTCTACACTCTCAGCAGGGTCTTGGAGGGTGTGTGGGAGTTTGCCCAACCAGTCTACATGTGCTTTGTGGACTTGGAGAAGGCATTGGACTGCATCCCTCAGGGAACCCTGTGGGGGGTACTCTGGGAATATGGGGTATCAGGCCCTTTGATACGGGCTGTTAGGTCCTTGTTTGACCGGTGTCAGAGCTTAGTCTGCATTGCCAGCAGTAAGTCGGGCTCGTTCCCGGTGAGAGTTGGGCTCCGCTAAGGTTGCCCTTTGTCACAGATTCTGTTCATAACTTTTTTTAACAGAATTTCTAGGCACAGCCAAGGTGTTGAGGGGATTAGTTTTGGTGGCCTTAGGATCGCGTCTCTGCTTTTTGCAGATGATGTGGTCCTATTGGCTTCATCAGATCGTGATCTACAGTATTCGCTGGAGCGGTTCGCAGCCGGGATGAAGATCAGTTCCTCCAAATCCAAGGCCATGGTCTTGAGCTGGAAAAGGGTAGAGTGCCCTCTCCGGGTCAGGGAGGAGGTCCTGCCCCAAGTGGAGGAGTTCAAGTATCTTGGGGTCTTGTTTTAATGAATGAGGGACAAATGGAGCGAGAGGTCGATAAACCGATAGGTGCAGCATCTGCAGTGAAGCGGGTGCTGTACAGGTCTGTCGTGGTGAAGAGAGAGCTGAGTCAAAAGGCGAAGCTTTCAATTTACCAATCGATCTACGTTCCTACCCTCATCTATGGTCATGAGCTTTGGGTTGTGACCGAAAGAACGAGATCTCGAATACAAGCGGCCAAAATGAGTTTTCTCCGCAGGGTGTCTGGGCTCTCCCTCAGAGATAGGGTGAGAAGTTCGGTCATCCGGGAGGGACTCAGAGTAGAGCCGCTGCTTCTCCATGTCGAGAGGAGCCAGTTGAGGTGGCTCGGACATCTAGTTAGGATGCCTCCTTGACACCTTCCTGGTGAGGTGTTCCGGACACGTCCCACCGGCAGGAGACCCAGAGGAAGACCCAGGACAAGCTGGAGGGACTATGTTTCTTGGCTGGCCTTGGAATGCCTCGGGATTCCCCCAGAGGAGCTGGCCCAAGTGGCTGGGGAGAGGGAAGTATGGGCCTCCCTACTTAAGCTGCTACCCCCGCAACCCGACCCTGGATAAGTGGAAGAATATGGTTGGATGGATAGATGAATGGATGGATGGATGGATGGATTGAGACCCCATTGAAACACCAGGTGTTTTAATGGGCATAGACTACATTGAAACACCAGGTGTTTAAATGGTTATGGACCCATTGAAACAACAGATGTTTTGATGGTTGTAGACTCCATTGAAACACCAGGTGTTTTAATGGTCGTAGACTCCATTGAAACACCAGGTGTTTTAATGGTCGTAGACTCCATTGAAACACCAGGTCTTTTAATGGTC